AGTAGTTCTTTATTGGTCTTTCTTTTCCATGTGTTAGTACTCTGATCCCAGATCACTCCGGTTAACATGCGGAGGATTTTTCTCTCAACTCTTCCAAAACTTTTTTCTAGAATGCTGGTTAGTGTCCAGGTCGCCTAGCCATATATTAAAACTCGCTTCATCATAGCATTGTATACCCTTAGTTCGAGATATTTGGAATTTCAATACCTTTGAAGGGGAGAAGAAAGCTCTGTTTGCGCTAGTTAAACACTGATTTATTTGTGCCCATTCGTGATTCATTGAGGTTAATGTGGAGCCAAGGTATATGAATTTTTCTACTCTCGGGAATGATTTTCCTTCTACGCAGATCCTGTTATTGGAGTGGCATTTTCAGCTTATTATCATATATTTTATTTTGTCTTCATTTACTTGTAGGCCGATCTGCTCTGCCTATCTTATCAGTGTTGTAGCGAGTTTCTCACTCAATGTCTTCTTGATTACTTCCAAGGACAGCTATATCATCTGCGTATCCAAGGATTTTATGATTCATTCTGACGTGGACTCCTCTATTTTTCAGTGATGTTGCTCTTATTACCTTCGCCAGGACTAAGTTGAACAACATCAGTCATATATATATAATTATATATAGATTAAATATAATAATTATTAAAAAATCTCACAAAAAAATATGAATAACCTAAAGAAGGTTGTTTATCATAAAAAAAATTTAGTTCACATGAGCTCGCAGGTTTTATAAGTTTGCAATATGATAATAAAAGAAGAGTTCACATTAATGCGAGAAATACATGAAATATGTAATAAAAAAAAAATAGATAGAATGAGTAAGAATTAAATAAACTATAGTTACTACTAGTTCTGCTGATGCTTTACTAACCCTACTGCAAATTGAATTGATTCAGTTCAAAGAGGTTAATAAATGACCATTAAGTGTATACTGTATTGGTTAAGACCAATTTTAATAATACCATAAAAATGTAGAACCAAAGCTTGATAAAGTAGTGTCCTTGGAAACAATTGTTTATTATAATGGTGATCCATAGAACAATTTGAATTTTTATTATAAAATTGAAGCTTTTTCTTTAATCAGAAAATAAAGCAGGTTCTGAAGAATCCTAGATAAAACACTCTTAATTTACAATTTCAAATAAAACAGGTCTTCAAATTCGTAAATGGCACCTTGGATCTATGAGAATGGGAAAAAAAATCTCACTGAAATCATACTTAAAACACTTTCTGTTCTGATCTGTATGGATGATCAAAAATAGAACACATTTAGCAATTATGGCTCTAAATAAGGTTGTATTCAGTGTAGTCATAAACAGGATATAATGAGAAACTCCAGTGTTATTGTTCCTTTGATAAAACAAATTTACAAAACCAACATAGCACGTTAAATTTTCACAATTTTAAAACTCATAAAGAAGTTGTGGTGATGTTACCGTTGAATCATCCATTCGTCACCCTTCTCGGGGCTATCTATTATATATTTGTAGTTATTCAATAACCATCCATGAGGAATACGATTGATAATAATTAGCCAGATTATAGCATGGAAAAATAGCTCAATTAACAAAAATAAGTTAGAACAATTTTTTGTATGGCAAGGTCAGCTTAATTTGACTCATGGGAACTTCTTGAAAGTTTCAGCTACTTCTTTGCACCACTATAAAAAAATATTCATGATTTAGACGACATAACAGCAGAGATTTCTGCCCGAAGGATTTCAAAAGCCAAACATGTTTAAACAATTCTCCAGAGATAAAAGAATCCCAAGATCTGGCGGATTGAAACCATCTTGTTGAGACAAAGGAATCATTCATTTTTTATAATAGTTGTCTTCATTTGAAATACTATTTGGGTGCATGGAAATTCAAATTTTTTATCATTACTAAAAATCATATCGTTATTGACCTGTGAATCTACACTCCATATGGACTAAATATTAAAAAAGTAATACATAATCTTCTTAGAGATCTCTGAACAAATGACAACATGACCATACAAATGTGTTATATAAGATAAGTTAAAGATATAATAGAAATAATCATAAAGAAATTTAAAATCAGAAGTGAACCATGCCACTAAAATCATTGTTTCATTGAAGAAATATATAATTAAAAATACCTTCAAATTTATATGGAATACAGGAAAAAGGATAAAGTATAAGCAGTACAGAAAAATTGCTCTAAAAGAAATTACAGTTTTACATAATTATTGGCATGGTTTACAGCTATAAGTAATTCACTCAAATGCCTCTTAAAGTATGTAACCAAGGATCATTCTTAAAATATGTCACCTACCCTGTTTTTGCTAACTGAATATAAATATAATAAATCCAGTGTTTGCATTTTTTTCCTCTATTTTTTCAATTCAACTGCCAGTATACAATGAATACCAGCTAATACAAATTACATGAACAACAAACAATCCCAATGCAAAATTCATAACAGAAATAGGTCCAATTAAAATTAACTTTCTTGGGCTTGATCATTTCAATTGACAATGATTAATTAACATTTGACATTTACAGAAAACAGATATAATACCGTTTGACTCGTGTCACCCTTGGTCACGAAAACTTTTTACTGGCTAGCTAATAGGTTACAAAAAATATCTTTATCCCTCAACAAAATTAATGAAGAAAAGGTAATAATTTTTCAAATTGCATCAAATAATGGGTACCCCACAGAAATTATTGCAAAAATATTTAGGAAAATTGAAAGATAAAAATTTGAATACGCAACTTATAACAGTCTACAATATAATAATATTAATGATTTCAGAACAATTACATATATAGGTCTTGATACTTATAAAATTAATAGTATTTTTAAAAGAGACAAAAAAATCACTAATAAAAGACAAACCTTTTATGAGTTTAAAAAACATGGTCTCCAGGACTAAAAATTGAGTTGATACTTTAAATAAGAGTGGCGTCTACTCAATAGAATGTTCATGTTCTGTGATTTATATCGGGCAGACGGGAAGAAAACTAAAAAGCAGAATTAAAGAACACCTCCATGGTTCAGGCCATGCATCGCATTTTAAAGATCATTTTTTAAATTGTTTACACTCACAAAAAAGTAATAAGGTAAAACCGTTGCATGCCATTTCAAAAGGGAAAAAATGGACTTTTTTGAAAAATTAGAAACCACGGAAAGAATTATAAAAAATGATGTAATATGTCTGAATGCAAAGACGGATCTATGGGGGGAGGGGAAAAGGGATTCGGGCTGAAGCCCCTCCTATATGATAAAATGTAAATATGTTTTATGAAAAAAAAATATTAAAAAATTATCTCTTAAAGTATTATTGCTCGTGTAATTACATTTAATAGAACTTGAAGAATCTTTCTTTTCTGTTTTTTGAAGTAATTATCATTATACAAATGAAAAAAAAGCTGTATGGCTGAAACCCCTCCCAAAATTAAATCCTGGATCCGCTAGTGCCTGAATGTACAAAGTACTCAATTTAAGGATTCTGCACTCATAAAATTAGTGACGGCTAATGAAAACAAGAAGTGGGGATAGGGATTGCTCATCTGGTCAATAGTTTCATTTTTAATTTTAGTCCTCATTTGACAAGCAGAAGAGGAGGACCACCATCATTTAAGTGATTACCATTTTTATTAAATAATTTATTAAGATTAGATTTCAAATTGTTAAATATTAAATTAGGTTTTATTATTATTTGCAAAAGTTTTTATTGTTGTTGTTAATTTTATTTTACTTATGTGTATATATATTTTCTCTTTTCTCTTTTGTTCTTTTTTCTTATTCTTTTCTTATTACTTTATTTATTTATATTTCTGCATATATGGTATCAATGTACTCTCTGAACTCTATTATAAGTGTCCTTAACTGTGACAGATTGTAATATTTCTCAAAAAAAGTTTAAAAAAAAAAAATTATTATTTTACCTAGCCTGATGAAGGTCTGATAAAAGACCGAAACCGGTTGCGGAAAAGTGAAAATAAAGGAATGTACAGGAAGACAACGCATTTTTTATTAAATTAAGAACAACAAAAGCAGGACGATGAGGGCGAGGAAAAGAATTACCCAACAGCATCCTATTTCACCCTGTTTCTCATTTCTCAAAAAAAATCTCTCATCCAGTTCCTTTTTAGCTTTCTAAGGATATTGTTGGACATGTTTATCATGTGGTGTATGACTTTATGGGTCTATTAGGGTGAACTTGAAGTTTTTAGAGAAACCTTTTGAAATAAGTCAATTTAGTATAACTGGATTTTATACTAAAAAATCGTTATGTAGACAATTGATAATTATAAATCTTTATTTATAGTTATTTGCATACCGAAATATTTGGGTGATTGTCCACAGAGCTTTTTATCATATAAATTAGAAGTTTCTGGTTGAATTTTTTTTTACGAGGTGTATATCTACATTGGTTGAAACGAAGCAAGTAAGATATATTGAAATGTCCTCTTTGTCTAATATTTAGCAAAACTCCAGTAGGGAACATAACAGTTGCAGTCATTGATTTAGTCTATTTCGTTTTGGTTAGTCTATATCGGTAGGTAGGTCTATATTGATGTCATCATTATGTTTCCTGTCATGTTACCAAATATTCTACAACTTTATCCTACATGGGAGACAGACTAATTTTATATATAGCTGACCACAACAGAAATTGGGTTGGTATAATACACACTGTACCGGTAAATCATAAACAGAACCAGCTGTAACAGGTCTAATTCATTTTTGTATTCAAATTCAAAATTTTTTCAATAGATACACTAATTAAAGTTTATTAATTATACAGTATTAGCACTAAATTACAATAAAATACAAGGCTAGCAAAAAATAATTTGTTAAAATGGATGAATCATCAAATTTTATAATACTTGTGATGTTACTAAGATAACTTTATAAATATTGTTTTATTTTGCTTTAATTTACATTTAAATAATTATATATATATTACCTGTGTTTTCTACGTGTGCAAGGAATACAATTCCGAAACGATTGACAATCGAACGATCAGGTATACAATGCTTTTATAACAAATTTACCGAACGTTAGCACTTCAATTTTTCTGTAGTTATTGTTTGTGACACAATCTAGCGACACCTGTAAAATAAGATAACATTAAAGATTATGATGTTTAAATTATTCTTAGTAAAATATTTAATAATATTATTATTATTTCACGCTGATACGACCCGATTACAGGTCTTGGCCTCCTCCAACCATTTTCTCCAATCCTCATGGTCTTGTGCCAATAAATAGTTAATATAATATACATTATAAATTAATATAATAATATACAGAGTCAAAAAAATAATAACACAGAAATCGAACTTTTGTGATTGAAATTTAACACAGAAAACTTCCAAATCTACCTTTTCCTCTTTATCCTTCTGACCTAATCAAGGTAACTCATAAACTGAAAATTTACATGAATAGTACAAATCATAGGGAAATAAACAGTATCTCTTATTTTAAAAAAATGATAATATTTCATTTCTCTGGTTTTGGTAGAGGAACCTTTCTTTATAAACGTAAATAATGAACAGCATAATTGTTACATAATCACTGATGTAAGATGACATGATAAAATAAAAACAGTCAGAACAATATGTTAAGTCCTATGAAGTAGTTATGTTTGGTATATTCATACCAAAACAATTATTGGAGACATCTTATATAACTAAATTAATAAAAGTTACTACATTTTATCTCCTAAGAAAATTTTTTTCGAAAGATCTGTTATTTTTACCATTTTACTGAACTAATTTGGAGCTTGATCAAATGAAAATATTTAATTTTGTGAGTAAAATATAAACAATGTAATTTTCCTACTTTTCATAGTTATCCATAGAAACAATTATGTAATACAAAAAAAAAGTATCGACTTATTTAAAGAAAGTATGATACAATTAAATTTTTAGTAAAAGTATGTTAAAAAGATTAAAAATCGAATTTGTAGTGAAAATTTATCATCTTTCCATGTGTTTAACGCTTAATAACTAACCATTACTACTAAACATTCGTGTGCAAACAACTATGAGAAACAATAGGCTGAAAAATAGTGGATGTAATGCTCACAATGATAAATTATTAAATTCATATTAATAAAAATAAACATAATATTTTATTAAAAACAAAGAAGTGTATAATAGTTATAAATTTAATTTATTCTCAATAATAAAAAGTTCACTGAAGCAAAAACTACTTAAAGTTTTTAGGACTTATTAACAGAGACTAAAATACTTAACTTAAATCATTACCATAAAAATAATTATCATTCCATTTATGAATAATGTTGTTTCTTTTATTTTCACTTTATTAAAGATTAAATAATTCACAACATTATAAAATTTAACTTTATTATTACCTTTAAAACTGATTTAAATAACTACATACAAAGACACAATTTTTTTTTTGGCGGAAAAACTCATATATCGATCTTAATTAATTCCATATCCTGAAGATAGCGTTTGATAGTAACTGCGGTGAACTACAGAATGCGCTGCTTTAGAAATCATTTAAAAAATAACCTGCTCGTGACATTTCAAACTTATCAGTTCATGTGGTATATAGCAATTGTAACTTTGGACTTTCGTATCAATCTTTCAGTTTAGTATTTAAAATCTAAAAAAAAAATGCCAGTTCCAAACGCTAAACAGTTGCATTATATCAACTTCTCAACCACAACAGCTTGTTTTATTGGTTTCGCTTTGTCTCTTTATTCATTACTTGTTGAGATAAATATTGAAAGAAATCCAACTTATACTCCTATGTGTGACATTAGTCCGTCTATGAGTTGTACTAAGGCTTTTGGTTCTCAGTAAGTCATTTTCAGTCTGTCCTTTTCATCACTACTAACTTTTAACTTATGATGTATGTTTTTTTTTGTTTTTTTTATAGGTATGGAAAAGGGTTTGGTATCATTGGAAAATTGTTGGGTGAAAAACATGGTCTTAATCAACCTAACAGTCTGTATGGAATGGCTTTTTACACATTATGTTTTTTCATCAGTGAGTATTGTATTTGTCACTTGTCAATTTTTTTTAAATGACACAAATTGTTCGCTTAGTGTTCAAAGTCACAAATATTTTTGTGAACCCTGTAGAAAGTTTAATCTCAACGCAGAAAAAAAAAACTGTACTATCTTTTGGAAATTGGGTCCTCTATTGGTTTTTATTTTGTTATTGGAAGTTATATAATTATTTTTTGCCAGTAAAATAAATATTGTAAATCATGAGGTATAAAATCATATATAATAATAAGTGAAGTTGTTAAAATAAAGTTCTATTTTAAGCGATATAAACTGATAATGGAGCATACCTTCTAAACTTAAAGAATAAAAGTAAAATGGGGGTTTGTACCGCCGTTAGGGGTACCCCCCTAGTCACCTATATTTATAAAAAAAATGGAACCTTTACTTAATCTTGATATAAAAAATAACACTTATTTGTTTTTATTATTGTTTTTATGTTAATTTGGCGCTTTAAAACTTAGGCTTTTTTAAAATGTTGGTTTTTGTTTCAGCTATGGTTGACATGCGGACTGCAGTTAATATAATGATTGGACTAGCGATACTTTCCAATTTGGCCTCACTGTACCTTGCATCACTTTTAATTTTTGTATTACAAGACTTTTGTATCGTGTGTGTGTCCACGTACTTTGTAAATGCTACCTTGCTATTCTTGTCAATGTATAAAAAACGTGTGCTTTTTGGTGCTTCTAATATTAAAAGTGAAAAATCTAGCCATGCCAAGGAAGATTAAATTTGACTGTACTATAAAAATTAAGTTTTAAAAAATGTGCCAAAGATAAGTTACGAGATTAATTTTATGGTTACTTTTAGATGTTGGTTTTGTGCAGATTATTTTTCTGTAATGTTACAATATTGATCTTTTTTTAACATCGATAATTTGGGCCTTGTATTTATGTATAATAATTACTGTATTATATTTGTGCTTTTAATTCTTTTAAAATTTAAATCAAAAAGAGAATTGTTAAGTGATAAAGTTGATAGATTAGGCCTTTTTTCATTTTGTTGTGTTTCAAATGTTAATAAATATATATATTTGTTAATGTACTATTGTTTTGTATTTGTAATGAACCTGAACCAACTTGCATGGCTGATTAATTGGAAGGTAAATCATTCATCCTTATCTAAAGAGATTGGGTTCAATCAAGTAGAAAATTTTATTCAAATTATTCAGATTACATTAATATTTATTATTAAATTTGCATTTATTTCAAATAATATTATATTTGGTCTTAAAATAACAATTTATTCTTTCAATAATTTCAAAACTGAACGATTTTTGCATTTATGCTGTCATAGTCTACAGAAGTAAGAAAAAATCTACTAGTTAGGAAAATTAATTAAATTACTTATTGACTCTTTAAATTAATTTTAGTGATTTGGGTTAAAAATAATAAATGACTTCATTATAAATATTTATTGAACTAGGTATCTTTTTTTTTTTTTTCAGTTGATAACAGACATCTTTCATATCTTTGGCCATCTGATCCAGCCTTCTCCATCTCTGCATACCTTGGAATTGCGTTACAGTTTTCTGCATACAGTTCTGGTACGTCTTCGTTGTTTCAATCATTTATCTGGTTTTTGGCTTTCCAATGTGGTCTCTTTCCTACTTTAGTTGCATTCATTGTTGTGTGGAGGCTTCCTGATGAATTGCTCTGAGCTAAGTGTTCTGCCCATCTTAATATCTTTGCCTTCATATCATGAAATTTGATTAACCACTTTCTGTAAGCAGCTCTTTTTTGTCCTCTTCTATGTGTTAGTACTCTTTTCTCAGATTGTTCTGGTTACTGTGTACAGTATTTTTCTCTCAAATCATTGATAGTTTTTTCTTCGGTGCTGGTCAGTGTCCAGGTCTTGCATCATTTAACTAGATTATTGGTCCAAAATAGCATAGTTACAATTTGGTATTGCTTTATAACATGGTGCTAAATATAATATTATAAAAGTAAATCATATTAATAAAAAAAGTAGTGTTCACATAAACAACTTTTACTTACCTCTCTACTTCAAAAAGCAATTCTTGCCTGTCAAAATTGGGATATTACAAGAAATTTTTGAAGCGCATTTTAATTGAGCTAAACTTTAAACAACGTATTTTTGATTTTCAGTACGGTCATATAGTACAGTGAAAATTATAGAAATTAATCTATCACTTTTTACATGTATTTAAATTCTTATTTTTCAACCTTAGAAAATTGATCGAAATACAGTTACTTGCTTTTAAATACAGCATCAATAGATTAAAAGTCGTCACACTGATTGTAAGTATAATGTGATTTGAGAAAGGGAATTTTTGTTGAAATAAATCAATAATGTATATCTAACTGTTTAAATATAATATCGAATCTAGAGTTATTAAACTACAGTAAATGTATTTAAGGTTATAAACATATTTTTTACCCATCCATGATATATTTAAATATTTTTAAACTATGCCATTGCCTTCATACGGTTGATTTTATACTCTTTTTTTCATACTTGAAAACAATTTAAAAATTTACATTTAATTAAGAAATTTCATTTCATTTCCTTGAAACATCTGATTTCCATTAAATAATATTAGTCTTCAGAAATTATTGTTTATATTTCTTTCATCGTTCCATTACCTTCTACGACTTTCTATATTACATATTGTTTTTTTTCTAAAATTCTCCTCTTTCCAAAAATATATTATACATCTTCTGATTATTATTTCCAGAATTTCATTTTCAAGTTAAATACACAATTTTTCTTTTTTCTCCATTATTTAATTATCAAATTATTTCAAAAGTTATGTTTAGCATTTTTTTGTTAATTGCTGTCAGTGAGAGGTAGTTAATTATTTAAAATAAACCAAATTAAAAGGTATTTTAAAGGAGGTATTATTGAATATTGGGGCATTTAAGCCCTGTAAGGCGACATCAATGTTGATAAGACCTAGCTGATATTAAAGACCAATTAATAGTACACTGATATAAAAACCTTGAATTCGCAATTTCAGCTTCGTATGAATTTTTATTTTGAGCTAGATTGTTCACATACACTCACAGATCATTTTGCGAGACTTGGTTATTTTGACTCAGGGTACCTGAAAACACGTATTTCCGTTGAAAACTCAGATTCGAAAATTTTCATGATCACAATACTTTCCATTACTATATATTTCATATATAGGTAAGTGAAAGTAAAAAATTTAAATGGCACTTACATCCGTAAGAAGTTGAAAACTAATTTAATAAATGCATCTTAAAAACAAGGCTTTCTTGTAGTCATCATCTGGACTCAACTAGAGTGTGAGTGTCAAAATGGATTTTATGTGACAAAAAAATAACGATTAACAAAACAAAATAGAAATAGAACTTACACTGCTGCTAAGAATGTATTCACAAATTTTATGGCCTGCGATCAATGTTGTTGTATTATTACAGTTCTTGCCAATATGAATGCATAAGTAAATGCTTTATACTTAATGTATAGATTTTATAACACATATTTTTATCCTAATCCTATCAAATTGGTTAATTTGCAAACAGAGTTCTCCACGAGCTGGACTATGAGGTGTTCATTTAATTTATAGCAACTGATATAGAATTGATTTTTATCTGGCCAAAAGACGTTTTACGTTGAATGGATAAAAAAAATATTAATTTTTCAAAAATATATACTATAAGTCTATTGTGATTATTTGGCAGCTCAGGGACGAACTCATCTAGCACAACTATCCATCATTACTTATCAAGTATTTACAAGCATAGACATATTATGAAAGGAAATGTTGTTGGTCTTCTAATTTAAGTACACATTTGTATTCGATAAGCAATATCGAAGAGTCAGAGAAAAAAACAAATATAAGTTTCATCTTTGGGCCACATGAGTTGGCCCTCAGAGTGCCAACTAATCGCTGTTAGAGATTATTTAAAAATTACAACATGGAAAAAAAATGTTTATAAAAAATAATCATAACAATATATTCATTTATTCAATAAGTATCTTGCATCCTCATGCAAACTGACCCAAGCCAAGAATGAGGTTCATTGGTCTGAACCAGTGTTGCCACTTTACAAATTATTTACATCAATAAAATATTTATTACATTTATACAATTAGTAAATAAGAAAAAAAATATAGTAATTCTCCTCGACAAAATTTTTTTATTGAAAAACATAGCAGTTTCACTTTATAATAAAAAAATAAATTATCTTTAGTAGTAATTATGCTATTTGTAAGAGTGAGGTTGAAAAATGTTGAGGTTTACTCGTGCTTGAGGAATAAGTATAAAATTGGTTGTCTTTTTCGGAAGGGTTGCATAGGAAAAATGCTTGCAATGGGGCGCAGTTCTCCTTTGTTATGCCACTGTAACTAATGTCAGTACTCAAGAATGAATTCTCATTCATTGGGGACGGCAAAATTAAAACATTGACTCACCTTTCTGAGAAATTTATAGCTATTGATACATTAATGAAATTAATTAATTACCTGGTCTATGTCTATGTCAATCAATTTTAAATGGTTGAAGATATAGAAGATAATTAGATAATCGGATAATTATCTAAATAATTAGATAATTTCTTGCATAGAAAAAGTGATATTTTTCTCAAATTCTTTGGTAATCCTGATAGTTCCTTCTCTAAAAACTACCTCTGAATCTGCCTTTGATATAATCCTAATGATGAGACAGAATCCCGGTATGTTGAAGTGATTAATATAACAACTTTTTAAAAATGAAATTGATTAAGGAAGGAAATTTTATGTTCATATTTTATTAATAAATGATTGGTATCATTTTCCTACAGAACAAAATTTATAATAAATTTCAGTTTATCTACATTGACTCTGTTCATCGACTCTCAAGCAGCCATCCTCGCTATTACAAACACGAATGAATGTTTATCGAGTGCTTTATGAGAATACAAATCCCTCCTCTCTAAACTGACACTCTGAGGCACCAATGTGGTCATACAGTGGATCTCCAGCCATTGTGGGATTCCACGAAACGTTGAGGCTGATAGTCTTGCCAAGCGAGGAACAGATTTGCCTTAGCCGATACATCCAAAACCTTATGATTCAATACAGCGAATGTTAAAGATGGTAGTGAAGGAAAAAATAAGAAAAGCACATTTGGGCAAAGTGGAAGGGAAACGTGTTTGAAGTGAAAAAAAAAGTGTTTGAAGGATAATCCGATTCCAGCTGAACTGCCAAGAAGATATGTAGTTGCCTGCTTCCACCTTACCGCTGGTCACGATTATCTGCAGTCATCTCTACAAGATAGGCGTGGCTGAGGATCCTAGCTATAAATTGTGTTATCAAGGAACAATAGATGCAGTCCATCTAGACATATATCCTGCCTTGAGGGACATAAGAGAACAATTTTATATATATATATATATATATATTAAAAAATCTAAATTATACTGGGCAGCAAGATATCGGATTGCCAAATGTCCAACGGCTGGCATAAGAGAAAAAAAAAAAAAAGTTTACCTACATTCATCATCATATTCTTTAATACTTTTGTCATGAATGTACCACAACCTAATTACACAATAAATAAATATTTTAGTTACTTATCTAGAAACCAAATTCAACTGCTTGCTCCAAATTTAATGAAATTTGACTTTAACGTGAATTTGAAAATAATGTATAAAAGTTTATTCACTAAAGAAAAATATTTCACTGACCATATTTCCATGATAATATGACAATTATTAATCATCAATAATAGTCTATTAATAATAATAGACTATTATTATTATTATGAACTTTTGTTATAAATTAGTAACAAAATAACCAAGGGACAGAACATAAATATTACGTTATTATTGGAAAAATTCCAAACCATACAGCCTTATGTCTCCAAAACGCAGGCAAAGAAAAACCTGTCAACATTTCACCAATTCAGGCATCATCAGGACAGGAAAAAAACAGATCTCTCCATGAAATCTCTTACTTGAGTTTCCGATTGGATTTAATTGCTGTTTTGTTGCTAAGACTGCTTGTTCACCTAAGGTTTTCTTTACTTTTTAGTTTATTTTATCAATTTTATTTATTTTTTCAAACTTTTAGGCCAGTAGTATTCTATTCTTTTGTACAATTTTGTTATTCTAAAGGGACTTAGTCCCAGAATAAAGTTTTTTTCTATCTATCTCTCTCTCTATTTCTTATAAGGCTGTATGGTTTGGAATTTTCCAATAATAACCTAATAATTATTATGAACTATGGTGGGAAGGGGAGGAGGAGGAGAAGGAAAGATGAATTATCTGTATGCTTTAACCAAACCTTTTTTGATAATATTTACATTTATAGAAAGCTCTCGTTATATTAAGGGCTTTAGAAATCATGTGAATTAATAAAATATACATACCTTAGCTGTGAACTTGATAATCATGAGCTGCAACATACGCGATATTTCAATCCGATGACAGATGAGAAATGATCAACTGAAATAAATTTTAAAATTACTTCATTATAAAATAATTTATATATTTTTAAGACAAGATAAATTTTTAAACTAATAAATGTGGTATTATTAGATATTTATTCATCCAGTGTTCCAATAATTAAAAATAAAATTTAATATTACTTTTAAATGAAAATGAAAATAATACATTTAGATAATGTATAAAAAAAAAGTAAAATATTTATAATAAAGTTATTATAACTAATCATTATTGCAAAGGTTAACATTATCAATACACCACCAATGCCCTATGTCAGGTAATTCTGTAAACCATCCTTGAATCAATGGATTTGAATACTATGGTTTGTCATATGATTATATAGGTAATTGCACCAGTAGTCAGAAATGTACAAATGCTACTTTGAATAGTGAGTACTAAGTGTTTTACTCAAATTGAATCACTATTGGGAATGCAATAACTACTTCAGTTAATCATTTGACTTCAACTGAAATAGTTATTAAATTATTTGGTACTCTAAAAGGTCAGGATTTGAGTAAAATACCTGGTACTCAGTACTCAGAGCAGCATTTGTCCATCTCTGCCAGTAGTTTACATGCTTAAGGATCTTTCTTGGGGAATTCACATGCAATTTTTAAGGAGAGAATAATGAATGGTCTTTTTTTTCTCACTCTCCAAAGATTTTATGATATAAATACAATAAATACATATAGATCTATTTATGTTTTTTTCTAGTGAACGATCTCATTTTTAAGAAATTTTTTGTATTGAATATATCTCTTTGGATTTATGAGTACAGGCCTGCAAGCTACTGGCAAAAGGTCACATTATAAGGCTCCAGTAGCTGGCACGTATTTAATTTTCAATTCCTTCATCAAGATGAGTTAAAAATAGACAAAATATTATTTAAAAACACTAAAAGCAAAAAATAAAACAAAATATTGGGAAAATTAAAGTAGTTAAAGAGAAAAAGGACAACATAATGTATGAGTCAGTACTAATATATGGTTGTTTGAGAGACACTATGCGGACATTCCCATTTTGCCACTCATTATTTCGGTTTTTGTGGCAAAACTAAAGCAAAGATGACAAATATAAAAGGAGAAAATACAAATCAAAATTTATAAAGGGAAATGAAAATTTATGAAATAGAGGTCTAGGAGGTCTTGAAATCTTTTTATTCCTATTTTTCGAGGAGAATGTCAGGTACTCGCACTCTGTCAACTGATAGTGCTTTTACCATAATGATTTCATGGTTTATGGTATGGGTGTTCCTATTAGTGGTAACATGTAATTGGGAGTAGTACTAATAAGTCTCTGTACTTATGATTGAAACTTCAATTAAAAGTGTATAACTAAATCATTAATACCACTAAACAGTAATTGAAATCCATCTAAAAAAATGTATAGCTATCACAATTATATTGTTAATATTCCTAACATAACAATTTAATCATGAGGAATATATAAAAAAAACACAGTTAATAGTAAAAACATCAATTAAAATATTAAACAAAGAAAGCTAAAATGAAATGCAATGATAGTTTTGCTAAGAACTAATTAGATGTAATGAGATCATTATTTTACCTAATAATAAAAAGTCAATTGTTGTTTAAAGGACATCATTTTTATAGAAGACCGAAAATTTAACACAGTAAAATTAATAAGCTTTATTGATATCAAATCAATTTTAATTAATAAACTAGAAAAGAAATTTTCTTCTTGAACATGACTACCTCCTTTCTCTTAATAAGAACTTAAACAAATTGAAAATTACTTTTTAGCGTGTCAATTATTTAGTTATTCCCATTTACGGTCCTTTGAATTAATTACAATACTATTAAAAAAAAAATTATAGTGACATTCCTGGTGCATTATGATCTTTTAAAGACGTTCTGATTTCATTAGGGTGAGAAAATATCTTACTTCTGAACAATTGCCATTTTTAATTTTACTGGCTCGGAAGTTTGAAAATGAAAATGGTTATTAAAAAATATAAGAGATTTTTTTTTTTGAAAAATCGCAATAGTTTATTTTTTCTTCTTAATTTCTATATCAAAAGTAAAATCTCCGGTGTATTATACATTATATTTAACATATTGTATGTTTAGACATTTCACAAACTATAGGAAAGACACTTATGTAATAACTTCTAAATGAATTAACATCTACTAACAGCGAAATTAGCGCTAAGCCCAACTTTTTTAAAATGTCTCTTACCAACAGCAGATGGAAAACATAAAAAACAAGAAACAAAAATACTAACGTAGAACGTAGAGGAAACCATTTAAATATTTGTATTTCCCAAAGTTTGTGAAATGCCTAAACCACCTTAATATTTCAAGAAATTGGTTGTCGTTCGTTCTTTTTTATTTATTCCGACGTGAAAAAGACTCAAATTTTAATTAATGTGAAATATTAATCATCTTAATACTAATTAAGTAAATTTCTAAATTATTAAATGTTATGTTGATTATAAGCTGAAAATATTGGCGCCATTCCTAATTGCTTGCGTCATTGTATCATTAAGGCTTTTCTATAAAAAATTTACCCGTGTTCCGTGAATTAAAAACTATTGTATACCTGAATCCAAATGATATAATATCCGCCTTTATTCACTATCAGGTAAAGATACGATTAATAATGAATTTTTAGCGAGTTTGTTTGGTTTTTTCAATTTAAAAACCTAAAATTTTATTAACACCCAAAAGAGTTGACCAATGATAGAAGCTTGATTACAAGATCATTTCAGTTTTTTCTCCCGTTTTACAACTTTAGAGTATTGCTGGAATGTGAGTGTGAAGATATCACATATTTCACAATCACATATTTATTGTAAAATTAATTTGTTAAAATAAAAATCAAGATAATTATTTAGATGAGGACCTCAAGGGTTGTGCATGGTTCACAATCACTTTGGTCACACTTGTTTACAGAGTGCCTAATGCAACCCAGTTAATCTTCAAGACTGTTCTCCCTGTTTCTGGAACAAGTGTGATCAAGTGATTGTGAACCATGCATAATCTGTGTGGTCTTCATCTAAATGGTTACCCCTCAGCGCTGAGTTTAAGAACTTATTCATTCTTGCATGCATGTGCTCAAGATATTTTGAAACATTGACAGAACCTGTTTTTCTTGCTGTTCAAATAATAATTTGAAGTACTTTAAAATAGTCTTACATATTGAGTATAAAGTTGGAAGAGAACTCACATTATATCTAAAAAATTTAAACTTGAATCAATTGAGAAGCAAGGAATTTAATTAATTTTATAAAAGGTCTCTGTGATCTTTATGAATTACAGGATGAAGAAAATTATAAAGCGTTTTATGATGCTTTGTAAGTTTTGAAGTGTTAGAATCAAAGAATGAGAACTAATACCCAATTAGCTATATTAATGATTTTGGTCTTTTCTTTTTTATAACTCTTTGTCTTCATTTATGAAATATTTAGAATTTATACTGGTACTTTCATGTTACACTATTGCCGACTGGGATTTTAAGGTGTACCTTAGTGTCTACTGCTTGCATTGTTGACTTCGTTGGGACTCAGCGTGAGGAGGAATCACTCTTCTGTTGGTAGCGTACAATTATGTGTTGGGTCTTGTTGATTATATGTAGAGGGAATAGATAGCTTTGAATAATATAATACTATAACATAGAATAGGAATGGTAAGCATGGTCTGTAGCAGAAAATATATGAATTTGGTACACAGTAAGGATTCCCTACTTTTTATCTATTATCCTGCAATTTATTCATCAGTAAACCATGGTGACTTTAAACTTAATGATTAATTTAGTGCTTGATGTTTTTGGTATGCTGTAACAGTTACAGCTTATCTCTATTAGATCAATCAGAATAAGTTTTTAACTTTATAATAGCATCTATGTTTTATATCATAAGTTCTTGAGATCCGTTTCACAAAACTTCTTGACATTCTCAAACTTTTTGGTTTTGTTCTGATAATTAATTAATTTATTAAGTATCCATCAACTTTTTTGTACTTACTGTTACTTAACTAGTTACGAACATAATGACATAAAATGCCTAGGATTAGGACTGGGTCCACAAAAAAAAGGTTTATGGATGTAGGTGTTTCTCAAGAGGTGGTCTATGGGCTACATAAGTAAAAAAAAAAACTGCTTGATATAGAAGTTTTTATTCATAGATGAAACATATTAGTTGAAAGATAGTATATGGTTGAAATGTGGTTAATAAATGGTTGGGAGCAAGATAGCTGAGCAGGCTAACGTGTGTGCCCAGCAACCTGATGCGAGATAATTTGATTAAGTAATTATGAGTTCCTGTCCTAGTGTCGCAGGGAAACAACAAAAGAGAAAAAGTTAAATATATGGTTGTGATAAGCCACATTTGCAATATTTGTATAATTTGCTATTATTGGAATGAAAATTAGCTTTCAAGAAGAGTGTTGGTAAATACAGTCTATTAATAAAATACACAGTTAATTACAAACATATTTGTTATATTTACCAATGCTTCAGTCTGAGTTTTAGGCATTCATCAGAGCCAAATTAGATAACAATTATAAAAATTCTTCTTAATCATTTCCTCTTCAACCACTGAGTAGTGTGATGAGTCTTATTGTAGAGTTCAGTCCACAATTCCTGATTCTGTGCAATCTGCCGCCTCCTCCTCTAATCCATATCTCTTCCATCAAAGGCCACCCTCCTCCCAAGTTTTCCTGGATCTTTCCGATCTCTCTCAGACCTGAACAGGAATCGCTTCTAACGTTATTATTATATATGGAACTTGAAATAACAGGAAATGAATGAAAGAATAAAATATTAAAAATATATAAGTAAAAATAAGAAAATATGTATAAGTCGTATGGCCAAAAAAATATTTAGTAAAAATACAAATATTAAGGTAATAATAAATGCATATATTAAGAATAAGTTTACATCTATCTGTGTGTTTTCTTCTTTAATCAAACTTTGCCTCTCTCCCCAACATATTCTTTTGGCATATCTAGTGTCATAGATTTTGTTGTTTTTGCTTATATA